TTTCTATGAGAAATGTAAAAATGTAGTATGTAGTATGTAAAAGTTATTGTTGATTTTATTATACTGCATCAGCTAAAATTAATATTAATAATGATGCAGTATTTATTAGTAATATTAGTAAGAAGTGTTTTGCAAATGTTTTTATTTTAATTAAAATTAATAAAAGTAAATGATATTAATAGTAACAAAATATATTTATTTTAGTTTCACAGCTTTGTATTTATCATTTAAAAGTCACTTTGGATAAAAAAAATTAAAATGAATGAATAAATATAAGTGTAAGGCTAAACTGTTTTGTTAGTCTCTAAAATATAAAAAGAAATTAATTATTTGAGAAACATAAGAAAGTGAGGTATGTAGAAAAACTAAAAAGCAAGTGAGAGAGGTATAGAATGACTTCAAACAGCCACGAGGTGAATAAACTGCACAGTTCTGCACGGTGGACTTAGCTTTACTTCATTATTTATGTGGCGTCTACAGAACGACCTGCGGCTACTTCACACACGCACCCCTCACACACTTCTACAAACTACTTCACATCACACTTTCTTGGCCCAAACAAAAAGTCCGGCACATTCCCTCTCAAATTAAGTCTGCCAGCACAAATCAGCGCTGCGTTCCCTGTAGTCAAGCTGCACTGTAACCTCAATATCACTTCGAGGCTCAATACTCACTCTTTTGAACCCCTAATGAAATGCAATCAATGATTGATAAGGTGGCAGTTGCCCTGAAGTAGACCCGCTGACGATTACAGCTGGTCGGCCCGAGCACCTGACCCCGCTCTGGGCTCCAGAGGTGTGCCACCTGGCCCTGGGAGAGACAGGCGCCGGGCCTTTTGTCTTATTAGCTGACTGTTGAGGTGTAAAGATCTGCCGCCTGCCAGGCATACAATTAGTCATCCTGTGATCTTTATTACTCTAGGGTGGTGGTCTTTCTTAGCAAAGCCCCAATTTGACACCCTCTCTTCCTCACCCGGGAGCCCCAGGCAATGCTGGGGATCAGGTGATGGGACCTTGCAGAGGGTCCCTTGCATCACAGGTTAAGGACGAGGCAGGAGTCCCTCTTGTGCTACCAAGAGGACCGTGTGCGATCCTCTGCAGGGTCAGCGATTGGAGGAATCCGCCCACTTTGTGATCTCTGGTTCCTCCATATACTCTTCTTTGCAGCTTCTTAAGACCCTCTTGATATGAGAAATCATTTTTCAAGGTATCTTGAGTTGTCTATTTAGCTCTTGGGACACTAAATAGTACTTACAGTATTAACAATTAATAAATATCATTTTAATTAATGATTTTTCAGATCAGGATGCAAATTTAATGACTTTCAGTGGGGTCAGCTAAATAAAAATATATATTGGTAATTTCACATTTACACAATAAATGGTCTTGGTCTTGCAACTCAAATAACCTCTGGACAGTTAGTCAAACATTAACACGTAGGACATCTTGCAAAATTATTAAACTGAAAAGTTGCCTAATTCATAAACAACAGCAGAAATATGACTAAAACGTTTTTGTTAATTGAAACAAAGCTGAAATAAAATAACACTTTAAAACTAACTGAAAATTAGAAATGTTACCCTGGAAATGAACGGAAATAAGTTTATGCTGAAGCACTAAAATCACTAACTGGAAGTAAAAAAAAAGAAAAAAACGGAAACTGAAATAAAAATATCCCTAGTTAGTCATATTCACAAAATAAAAATGACAAAAGCACATAAAAATTGAATAATGACAACTAAAAAATATACAAAATAAAAGCTAATTAAAATTTTTAATAAAATTATAATAGCACATATATAATATTAAAGTAACACTAGAACAAACACTTGGGCAAATATTGTATTAGTATTGGCCATATTACCAAGTGATGTGTAAAATTTGCACTAAAGTACTATAAAGTTGGTTTTGATGCATCCCTAATGTCAAAAACAATAGATATTTTCCACACTTTTAAAAAAGGCCTTTTTTATTATCCTAACTATGTGCAATTATATGCGCAGTTGCATTTTAATATTTGCATTTAGCATTGTTTTTAGCATTAGCATCATCTGACAATTATGAAATATAAAAAAAGTTCTTTGTGGAACACTGGTCAGTAAAACTCTTTTTGGTTCTAATTGGAACCTTTATTTTTAAGAGACAGAAAGGGTTTGGACTCTGTGAGAGATTCGCTCGGGGAGGCATGTGAGCGGCTCCCTCCCCTGAGAGGTGTTCTGGATGAGCTGGATTCATGTCTGCATGTTAATCCCTTCACTCTACCTGCCAAAAGGCAGAGAGCACATGTTACGGCGCATCGAGATGCTGTGTTCCTCTCCTTTTCCTTTTCACAGACCTCCACAACACAGCTTCACAGCATGAAACCATCTCAACTCTCCCGTCCCTCCCCCCGCTGTCTGTGTGTGTGTGTGTGAAGTGTATGTGGGTGAATGGGTCACGAGGAGTCGCTCAGACGCTCTACAGTTCATTCAGCACAGGTAACAAGGTGAGTCTGTTTGACTCTAGATTGGCCCGGCTATCTAGCCCTGAAGGCTGTCTCCCGACAAGCGTGTTTCTATCTTCCTCCTATCTTTTCTTCCTCCTGTTTTCCCCTTGCTTTCTTTCCAGGGGCTCAATTATGGGAGGATGGTTCTCAAGCGCCCGGCGAGAGCAGATCAGCTGACCCGGGAGAGCAAGCCATCCGACAGGTCCCCTAACAATGATAAATCACATACACACACTGAGCCTGGTGAACAGAGGTCTACCTCACACACACATACATACATAAACAACATTACAACAGCAACCTGCCACTTGCACACACACATATCAACTTATTGTGCTAATAAAGAGCAACTGATAAAGCAAAATGTGCGAAAATGACAAGGCAGAGGAAGCCAATAATCTACTTCCTCCTTAAAGAGGGCACATAGTAGTATGAACAGGATGGGGCTAGTTGTCACAAGGACGATATCATCTGAATAACTTCTGTATAAGGTTTTAAGTGAAAAATACAACTGCACAAATGTATATTTTCTTTATCAGTAGCTTTTTATGTTGGTTTCAAACATGTAAAACACTCTTTAATTTGAATTATAATTATAATTTAGAATTGTATTCCAATAACTAAAATTAAAATGATCAAGTCACAACATTTTATGTTGTAATTTTATGAAATTCATTCATTTAAATATCTGTTTATTAACAAAAAAACAGTGGCTTTATATTTTTTTTACATTTTACATTTTATTTTATTATTTTTGTTTCAGAATTAATTTGCTGTTTATTTTTACCTAATATTGTTTAATGGCTGTTAATCAAATTCTTTTAATCTACCCCATATAGTGTAACAATATGCTTTACCATTGGGGCATGTTGTCACAAAATATCAGCGTGTCTAAAACAGTGTGTAAAGTTTAATTGCGTCTTAGGATCAAGATTTGCATTGATAGAGAAACTGACTAAACCCACTCTTAGAAATATTCACTCGCGTACAAACTGTGACAACTAGCCCCAGTCTCCACTATCTGCTTTGTCCAAGGCTTCTGGGAACTGCCACATGTACATAAAGTGCATATTCCCTCTGACTGAGCAGAAAGCCCATTTATAAATATTTCAGAATGCAAACAGGACATTTCGGTTCATTTAATGTGCATTCATTTTTCTTTTGTTGGAAACGGTTGCTAAGAGAGCCCCCCCCCCCGCCTTCTGAGTTTATAAGACACGCCATAATCCAGGTGTCCGTTAATGTGGATCTCACAGGTCGTTAACCTTGTGGTAACCTGGGACTGCCTGTGAATGTGTGTCCCGAATGCCAGCGAGAAACACAGCTGCCTGCAGGACAGAGCAGCCTCCTGAATCACATCCATATTCCTGATCTATCTGGACAGAGAGGTGTGTGCTCACGGCCAAACCCGGGACTGGAAATGAAATTATATATAAGCCTGATACATGCCTGGCCCCAGCAAAGGTCGTCAGACAAACACAGCTGGGTTTCTAAATGCTGGGGCCATCACTGGCACACACACTGTGGATCTGATCAAGGATTTGGAAGGAGTCAAGCTATGCTTAAGTATATGCTAAAACACAGTCAAACACATCTGTTATCCAAAAAGAAATATATGTATGTGTATATGTATGTATATATATATATATATATATATCATTCTTATTGAGTTTTCCTCTTGAATGTATAAGTATATAAGAGGTGATAGCTGGCGGTCTCCCCTTGCCACGTATCGCAGCATCAAAGCGGCCAGACAATGTATGCTCACTATTAGTATCAATTTACAAATAAACTGCTTTTTTGGTGACTGGATCTCAGATGTCAGATTTTGATAAATGGTTTCAATCTGGCAGCTGTTTTAAAGTGTCAGTCCGCATCAGATCTGATCCCCTCCAACACCAGCGCCTTGCCCAAAAGAATCTCTCTCACTTAGCTTCCTGCCTTTTTAGGGGAAAATAATCTTTTCATACTAACCAGGGGGCAAACTGCCCAGGGCACCTGACGGCACACTGAGTTTTGCACACACGTGTTTTGTATTTATATATATATATATATACTCATTCTGCACCCGTTGCATATCAGCTTTGTTCTTTGATTTGTTGCTTGTTGCTGCCCCAAAGCTGCAATGTGCCACCAGCGTGTTTAACAGTGCCGATCTAACCTCCATATCACCCTCAAAGCCAGCATCACACAAACAGTTGCTTTTTCATTCACAAGCCAGTACGAGCTGTTCTTCTACGCTATCAAACAGAAGACCCTCAGGCTTTCAGAATCAAGGTTTGCTTCACAGACATAAGAAAACACGCATCCTTTTCAGCAAGAACGGAGATGCAATGCCAAATCTGAGGCTGAAATATTCAACTCCCATCTAGCGAATGCTTTACACCTATTTTCAAATTTATGTCAAGCGTTTCTTTCAAATGTAGGAGAGCCTGTGTAAATCCAAAGCACGGCCAGGGAAAACAAAATGGGTGATTTTGAAAGCAGCGAAAGCATTTTCTGGCGACCACACTTACCTTAGGTAACCTCTCCGGGTCTCCAGGGTGACGAGGGATGACCTTTTGTAGCCTCTGGAAGCCGTAGTCTATGGTGGGTTCATTCAGAGCTGCGGGAGAAACCGAAAATAAGATGTTTATTTGATTTAATTGACTGCAGTTCTCTCAGAAACAGGCTGTTATGTCATCTTGTCAATTTCCCAGAGTTCTCTGCCATGGGGTTAAATATCAGCGTGTGTCTGTGTAGGTTTCTCCCTGTATATTTGTTTTTACGTTTGTCCCTGTGGCATCAATCCAGGCCTCCCCCTGTGTGAATTTGTTTTATGAAGTGTTTAGTGAGGCCCTATGGCCTTCCTGTCCCTCTTTACATTTCTTTATACACCAAACTCTAACCTTTCCTGCCTAATTCAATTCTTTTCTTCTCTCTCAACCCTGCTCACGTTTATTTCATTCTCTCGCCGCAAACAGCACCTCCGCTTAGCCCCTCTTTCCCATCTCTGTCGCGATACAACGGCAGAAAGAAACACCCGAAAAGCAGTTAGGGAGATATTTCTCCATAATCAAGCCCATTAATCATAAAAGGCTGTCAAATTTGACTTTGGGGACAATTTGTCAGCCTTCTTGCCCGGTCCGCTTGTGTCACTGTTGCCTCTTGTATTCCGTAAGGATGATTGACAGTCCAAATGCTAGCGAGTAGAATACCTAGTTTGCACTAATATGCATAAGCGATGCTTTCATGAATAAGAATAAGGTGGCTGTGCAGGAGCAGGGGCCTCTTTTCAAAGGGCCCGGTGCCGTTTGTCGTGCGCGGCAAATAGATGTTATTACCATTATAACAATATTTGTTTTCTTTCCTCGGGAATGGGTCTCAGCAAGCTGCTAAATCAAATTTGTTTGAGCCGGTTTCACGGCAAGGAGGAGAAAAGAGCTGGCTGAGTGACAGCGGTTGCTGAGGAGGGGGTGTGTGGGGGTCTTTGTGACTCAATGCCCCCGTGAAAGTGAGGGAACAGTCTCTCAGGATGCTCTGAGAAAGGCTCTGTGGAAACGATCACGTTCCTTCTTCAAGTCGGGAGAACTGCGGTTTGATCAAACGGCAGTGTGATTAGACGCAGTAAGCGATCTACGTGCCATTGTTTTGTTGTGTCGTTTTTGGACAGTCTACTATGTGCTAATCACCGCCATCTGGATATAAGGTGTCAGGAAAAAAGAGAGTAAGACAGAAGGAGAGATAAAAAGAAAGAAAGAAAGAAAGAAAGAAAGAAAGAAAGAAAGAAAGAAAGAAAGAAAGAAAGAAAGAAAGAAAGAAAGAAAGAAAGAAAGAAAGAAAGAAAGAAAGAAAGAAAGAAAGAAAGAAAGAAAGAAAGAAAGAAAGAAAGAAAGAAAGAAAGAAAGAAAGAAAGAAAGAAAGAAAGAAAGAAAGAAAGAAAGAAAGAAAGAAAGAAAGAAAGAAAGAAAGAAAGAAAGAAAGAAAGAAAGAAAGAAAGAAAGAAAGAAAGAAAGAAAGAAAGAAAGAAAGAAAGAAAGAAAGAAAGAAAGAAAGAAAGAAAGAAAGAAAGAAAGAAAGAAAGAAAGAAAGAAAGAAAGAAAGAAAGAAAGAAAGAAAGAAAGAAAGAAAGAAAGAAAGAAAGAAAGAAAGAAAGAAAGAAAGAAAGAAAGAAAGAAAGAAAGAAAAGGAGTGAACGAACAAATGAACAAACATGAATAATAAATGAATGAATGAAGACATGAACAAACAAATGTACAAAAATGAATAAACAAAAAAAAAACTTGAAAGAACAAAAGATGAGGGAGGATAGAAGAAAGAAAGAATGAGATGAGAGAAAATGAACTAGATGCAGGAACATCGGAAGAAGAGCATCCATAAGAGCAATTTCACAAAGCAATCCCATAAAACTTGCACTTTAATGAACCGTCGGACAGGGGACATGAGAGGGAGGGCTTTGTCTCTCTATCACACCCCCAAGAAATTAAGCCCATTACTTCTCTTATTAAAATCCCCCTGAACTTTGACCCCAGCGCCCCATTGGCTGCCTGCAGGGCCTCTGTCCTCTCAGCCAATCGATACGGCTGCCTCCCGTGGAGAAGTGGGAGTAATTGGAGAGTGTGTGTGCGCGGGCCGAACCCTGACCCCGCCTGCATTACACAGCCCATATGAAGATAGATTGCCTGATTTAGTGTAAACATATGCTGCAATTCTAGCCATCAGTGCCACTTGACTTTGGGGACAATTTGTCAGCCTTCTTGCCCGGTCCGCTTGTGTCACTGTTGCCTCTTGTATTCCGTAAGGATGATTGACAGTCCAAATGCTAGCGAGTAGAATACCTAGTTTGCACTAATATGCATAAGCGGTGCTTTCATGAATAAGAATAAGGTGGCTGCGCAGGAGCAGGGGCCTCTTTTCAAAGGGCCCGGTGCCGTTTGTCGTGCGCGGCAAATAGATGTTATTACCATTATAACAATATTTGTTTTCTTTCCTCGGGAATGGGTCTCAGCAAGCTGCTAAATCAAATTTGTTTGAGCCGGTTTCACGGCAAGGAGGAGAAAAGAGCTGGCTGAGTGACAGCGGTTGCTGAGGAGGGGGTGTGTGGGGGTCTTTGTGACTCAATGCCCCTGTGAAAGTGAGGGAACAGTCTCTCAGGACTCTCTGAGAAAGGCTCTGTGGAAACGATCACATTCCTTCTCCAAGTCGGGAGAACTGCGGTTTGATCAAACGGCAGTGTGATTAGACTCAGTAAGCGATCTACGTGCCATTGTTTTGTTGTGTCGTTTTTGGACAGTCTACTATGTGCTAATCACCGCCATCTGGATATAAGGTGTCAGGAAAAAAGAGAGTAAGACAGAAGGAGAGATAAAAAGAAAGAAAGAAAGAAAGAAAGAAAGAAAGAAAGAAAGAAAGAAAGAAAGAAAGAAAGAAAATGAAAAGAAAAAATGGAATGTAAAAAAGGAAGGAAACAAATGAAGTAACGAATGAGTAAACAAAAACATGAATAAGTTCATGAACAAATAAGTAAACAAAAACAAGCAAAAGAAAGAAAGAAATGGAATGCAAAGGAGGATGGAACCAAAAGAAGTAAGGAAGGAGTAAACAAACACATGAACGAATTAATGAACAAGTAAACAAAAAAAAAACAAGCAAAACAGAAAGAAAGAAAGAAAGAAAGAAAGAAAGAAAGAAAGAAAGGAAGAAAGAAAGAAAGAAAAGGAGTGAACGAACAAATGAACAAACATGAATAATAAATGAATGAACGAAGACATGAACAAACAAATGTACAAAAATGAATAAACAAAAAAAAAACTTGAAAGAACAAAAGATGAGGGAGGATAGAAGAAAGAAAGAATGAGATGAGAGAAAATGAACTAGATGCAGGAACATCGGAAGAAGAGCATCCATAAGAGCAATTTCACAAAGCAATCCCATAAAACTTGCACTTTAATGAACCGTCGGACAGGGGACATGAGAGGGAGGGCTTTGTCTCTCTATCACACCCCCAAGAAATTAAGCCCATTACTTCTCTTATTAAAATCCCCCTGAACTTTGACCCCAGCGCCCCATTGGCTGCCTGCAGGGCCTCTGTCCTCTCAGCCAATCGATACGGCTGCCTCCCGTGGAGAAGTGGGAGTAATTGGAGAGTGTGTGTGCGCGGGCCGAACCCTGACCCCGCCTGCATTACACAGCCCATATGAAGATAGATTGCCTGATTTAGTGTAAACATATGCTGCAATTCTAGCCATCAGTGCCACTTTCTCCGTCGTAATTTGTATTGATTTTTTTCTCCCTTCCTCTCAGCCATCCACGCGTCTTTGCTGTGCCTGACGTGCGATTGCGAAAAGGGAAAGATAATGCAGTTCGCTGAAGAGGTGGCGAGTGTATGTGTGTGTGTGTGTGTGTGTGTGTGTTGGAGGAGACGAATAGAGGGATGTATATTTATTATTAATTTAATCATCTCCTTATTGCAGGCGCTGTGGGGCTGCACATCTCTTTTCTCTCTCTCTCGTTCTCGTTTGAAGGTTATCACACTCTCCACTGAGATCTACTGATGCTAAATAGAAGGTTGCTTTGGAGTGTGAGGTAACAGCGAAAGATTAATATGATTTCCTCTTTCAGATGTCCAGTGGGATGGGACAACACAATGAGCTGCCAAAAAAAGAGACACAAAAAAAGCATTTCCTCATCTGCTTGCATAACTACATCTATTACTGTCAAGCTTTTGATCATCAGCATTGCAGGGTCGAGTCTGAATCGTGTCCCCCATCATCATCGACGCACATCAGCAAAACCATTGAGCGTCTGACCTCTGACATGCAGTTAACCTGCACGGCACACCTGCGTTTGTCCTCACATATGAGCTCGCCGGAGTGCTATCTATCTAGCAAATTAGAGGTAGTGCGTGAAACTCTAAAATCAATCCCAGCATACCTCTCTGTTCTTATTACATGCTCTGCAGAAGTCAGAGGTCAACTAGGGCTGACTGGGAAACCACTCAACACACACCAACTCATGATAGCCAGATCTAATGAGGGCAATGCTTACTAATAAAAGAAGGAGGGAAATAAAAGAGGAGAGGAAAGATATACAACAAGAATGAAAGAAAAAGCAGAGAATGTAAATGAATAATTGGCTCCACACACAACACACATGAATGTTGATTTGCGATTTGAATTGGAGTGACAAGAAAAGGAACTGCAATTCAAATTAATTCAACACATGTAATTCCTTGTCCACAATTGTTAATTTATTCAGTTAAATTCATTACGTTTATTATAAATATAGTAATTTATTATGTTTGTTCCATCCATCCATCATTCTATATATCTACATGTCTTCTCAGTCATCCATCCATCCATCGTTCCGTCATATTCATCCATTGTTCGTTCATTCGTACATTCCATCCATCCATCCATTATATTTAAAGCTTCAATGCTTTTTAAACATCTTTCTAAACTTTAAAATCCTTCTTTGTCAAGCAACATTTAAAATTCAGTCTCAAGATTTGCTTTTATACTTAAAATGTTCCTTTTTTTTTCTTTGAATTTCCTTATTTAATTTCACTGCCTTACAATCAAATTCGAATTGCAATGCTGTATCCTGTATGCTACCTCAATTCAAATT